GAAAGAGGCGCTAAAAGCAATGCCTTGGACAGCTGGATGCTGGTACAAGTTTGCCAGGTCTTTGAGTGGCTAATAAGACCATGTGCGGTGCCTGTGTTTCTACAGCACTGAAGCTGCAAGTGAAAGTCAACCTGAGACAGAGCTGCATTTTCTAACTTTGCTGTTCTTCTCTCCTCTTGTGTGTTTGTCTTGTTTGGTCTTCTCAGAACCAGGATCAGGTTTTAACAGTAACAGCCCTAGCCCATCTCTACTGACTTTTCTTTCCCACAAAAGGACAGTTATTACCATCTTTAATACCATGTAAACAAGAGGCTGTGTGTTCTAAAACTCTACAGCTAAAAAGAACAAGGGATGCTGTTAAAATGAAAGTATTTAAAAGCCTTTGAAATGTAAAGTATTAACTGTTTTTCTTTTTTTCTGTATTTGTATTAGAAGGCTTAAAGAATGGGGATTGTGTTTACACCATGGTACTAAGCAGGCTGAGGTCTCTATGCCTAATCCAGACCCCTGTTTAAGGTTGGAGAGTGACTGGGTTATGTTAACATCTTTGGCCCATATTTTCCATCTAAACGGATACAACAGTTCTGCCCTGCTCCTCAGCTACTGCAAGCCAAATCCTGCTCTCATCACACAACACCCACTACTGCCTTCAAGTGTCCCCAGGCAACCCCTCCATCTTCAATGCCTCCTCTCAGCCCTGTGCAGGCAGCAGGAGTTCACCCTGCTCATTGGAACCTAGCTGATTCTGCCCAACAGGAAAGCCAGGAGAGAACCCAGTTCCAGTGCCAACACCAGCATGGGGTACAGACAGGGGGCGCTTTGCTCTGCTTGGTAATAGCAGGACAGGGGGTGGGTTGAGAGACTACTGAAGGCCACAGTGACCAGGACTGGCAAAGATCCACAGACTGGAGCTGATGGGTACACTTTCCTCCCAAACAAAGGGTGCTTCTTAGGGGGATACACCTGAGAGAGGACAATCACCGTGAGAGCTCAGACCACACAGGTCCCAGAGCAGAGGAGGAAGCCCCACCTGCTGGGATGTTGAAACCCCACAGGACCAAGGGCCACCCTGCCCTAGCTGGGATCCACATGCAGCACTGTCCCATGGGAGAGTTTATAGGGGATGAATACTCACACCCAGCCAGAATGGAAGCTTTATACAGCTGAGTCCAACAGCTGGGATAAGGGTTTGGGAAGCTCTTTTGTTCTTTGGGGAGAGGGTGGCTTAAAAGATAGTGTGGAAGAAGAAACCCAGCGGGAGTTAAGTGGGGGAGTCATTCTCCCAGCACTCTGCTCTCCAGACCCCTCCACATGTGCCGAGATGACACTGCTTTCACAAGAGCACAGGGACTGAGTGACTGCTATTGTTGTGTAGAGCTGGAGTTTGAGACAGGAAGAGTCCATTACCTCATCCAGCCCATCCCAGGCCATGCAAAATGGCTTAGAGCTTGGCTTAGTACTGGGGTGCCACTGCTGCCCTCGGGAGGAGATTCCTTGCTCCAGAGACCCCACTGTTAGGAAGCATTTCCCAATATAAAACTCTTGCTTCCCCCAGCTTTATTTATCTGCCCCCTTGTACCCACCTTGACAATGCTTCCCTTTGCTGATCATCCCAGCCTTCAGATACAGGGCAATTTACAATCCTCTAAGACAATACAGAGCAATAGGTAAAGCTCAGGCACTAGCACTCAGGACTCCTGGGTTCTAGCTTCAGGCACAGAAGTTACTGGCACAACTGTTTCCCCCTCTTCAATACAGGAATATAGATCAAGCTTTTTAAAGCACCAAGTGTTTGGTCCAGCCACATATATGTAGCCCTTCATCATCCCCAGAAGCCAGGCTCGGGGAGTTCTCAAGTCAATACCCAGTCAACAGTCAGTGGTGACCATGTAGTGAGAGTGCCTAACTGTCCCCAGCATTGCTCAGGCACAGAGGTAGCCAAAACTGAATCTTGTAGCCCAGTTCCCCCGCCCAATCACCCAGAGCATCAGCATTGTCATAAAGGGAAGAGACTCCAGGTCAGTCCCAACCAGAGTTCTTCAGCAACTATCACGACTCCTTCTTCCTCAGATCCCACCCCGGTCCCCACTCTGTCTCTTACAGCCATCATGCTGTCAGTACAACACTTCTTAGTTGCCTGCACAACACAGGCAGGAATGAGCAGACACCCACTGTCACCACTGCACTGGAGATAGTTGCCACAGCCATTGGGTGCTTCTGAACAAACCTCTCTCATCACCACCAGCTTGATGCTGCTGCAAGGAGACAGCAACACCTTCCATGATTACTTGATGTCTCTGCACCAGGGGGTATCCAGCATGCTCCTTGCCTCTCACAAGTGTTTCTGCTCCAAACAGCCCTAGAATCCTTTGCACCATCCCCATGATACTTCCAGGGGCTCCCGTAGGAATCAGCACAATGAATTATGGAGCATTTGTGCGCTTCCGGCATTGGAGAATTGTTACATCTGTCACCTCACACCAATGGGCTGAGGTAGCCCAATATGCCAGCTGCATCACCCCTCATTACCCCAGCTAGCCTGGCGACACAATCAAGTCCAGCTGGCAGCAGGCAACATGAGCGCCATTTCCTAATGAGTGTGTTTTGCTGGTGGGGAGGGGACAGGAAGCCCTGACTCATGCTGTCACTTTCCCTTTGATTCAACATGCATTCAACATAGATGCTTTGGGGCGGTCCCCACCCTAGACTTCAGTGGGGGAGCATGACTAGCTAGCCAAGAGAATGCACCCACACGGATCAAAATTTCAGCAAAAACAGTGCTGGCTCAGTTTGAGATTGTCCCCAAGCCCACTTCTGGAGTTCCCATGCTCCTGGTGCCTTTCACATCATAGCCATCTCCATGCATTTCAGACATCACTTCACCCACCACTGTAAAGCAGCCACTTCTGGGGTGGGAGACAATAGCTGTTTAACAGCCAACAGAGATACTAGCAAGAACAGAATCCTGTATCCATTTGAAACTCAGGGAGAGGGATTTAAAGGAAGTAAAATGGAATGGCCCCAAGAAGCGCTGGGAAGAGAAAGGGCATTGGGCTCCAAGAGGTCAGGACCTATGCTAAGTCTCATCTGAAAGGCAGAATCACAGGAGCTGCCTGTCAGTGCCAGATCATGGCTCTGACAAGCTGCTATGAAAAGTGTGTGGACAGCTCCATTCAGAAAGGCAGCCAGCGCCACTTGAGAAGTGGGGAGGTCTAGTTTGCCCCTCAACAGGGAATGCTGCCAGCCTGATGTGCATTTCCTTTTCCAGAAAGCTTCACTCTCCACAAAGCCACCCGTCATCGACACTAACTGGCTGTTCAGAGAGGCCAAATGCCTAGCTGCTCTGATCAGGGCATTGTCTAACCCCAGAGCCAGCCAGGTTGCCATTGCCTTCATCTTCTCCCTCCAACAAGCAGGCAATTTGGATGAGGTCTTCTGCCCAGTCCTGCCTATAGCCAGCTAGAATGCAGCTTCCCTGTGTGCCCACCTAAGGGATGGCCTCTCCGGAGCCACATCCGAGCTCCCTCAAGTGCCCCAGAGCTACAGTCACATACACACTCTGGAAGCAGTCAGAGCACTTCCCATTTCAGTCAGTACCAGGTCAGTCTAGCAGGAAGGGCACTCCACATCCCTTGCTGTGGAAGCTTCAGAGGAGAAGGATTCAAAGCAGGCCTGGGATTCACATCAACTTGTCAATAGTACAGGGAAAGAGTCAAGCAGCCAGGACAATTAGCACTGGGTCCACTTGAATCTGCCAAGATGCTGCCCTGGAGAGCCATCACCTCATGGGGGAAGGCTCAAGCCCAACAGAATTGCACTGAAATGTAACAGAGATTGTAAGGGGTCTGTTTGGCTCTGGGAGTGGAACCTGGGGCCTTCCCCTGCAAGCCACTAGCTCCATCCAGCCCCCATGGCAGAAAGCTGTTCTCATCTTATGCCTGTTTGGTGGCCCATTCCCCTAAAACAAACTGGGGAGAGGGTGGTCTCACCCTAGGTCATACCATCTATATCACCTGTCCCGCATCCCAGTGGGCACTAACCAGCCCCTTGCTGGCCACCTCTGCCAAGGCCTGAATCGGCCTGAGCACAGAGACTGAAATCCCATCAGCCCTTGAGAGAACAGCTGGTGCAGTTGCTAGGGTATCAGCCTGGACATGGGAGACCTGGGTTCAGCTTCACCAGACTCCCTGGCTGACCCTGGGCCAGTCGTTCAGGTCTCATTCTGCTTTAATGCCACCAGTCTAGTTAATGCAATGCAAGGCCCTAGTGTGGATGGAGTTCCACTGCTATACAGGTGCTTTACACCCATACAGCGACCCCTGGGCAGCAAGGAGGAGTGGGGAGCTTTAGCCTGGAATAACCTCGCCCACACTGGGCACCGTTCCAGAACAGCTAGACTGGTACAAACCACCCCCACCCCCCTGCTGCCTCAGATCCCGCTGTACAGAGGAACTGACCCCCCATCACACCAGGCGCAAGGATCAGACACCCAGTGACGGGGCGGGGGCAGAGGGACCCAGCCTACAGGACCAGGGCTGCTCTCCCCTGGAGCAGAGTCTTGCCCCCGAGGCCCCTCAGCCGCCCCAGGGAGGGGCCGACGCGAAGAGCGGGAGCGGGGGGGCCCAGGGACGCTGGCGAGGGGAACTGACCGGCACGCGAGGCGGGGTAGCTCCAGGGGCCGGCCGGGGGAGGGGAAGCGGGGGGGTCCCGGACCCTGGCCGGGGGACACCAGGGGGCGGCGGCAGAAGACGCCCCGCGGTCCCGGAAAGGCAGCAGGGGCGGGGCCACGGGGCTGTAAGGCCCCGGCGAGGGCGGCTCAGGGCCCAGCGGGGGCTGTGGGGAGCGCTCTGGAATGGGGGCCTAGCCGGGGTGAGGGGGCGGCCCCGACTGGCTTCGGTCCGCCTGAGGCACGGGGGTCCCGGTCCCGCCCCTCCCCGCGCACTCACTACTCGGGGTTCATGGCGGCGCCCCCGCGGTGATTTCGGCTCCTCCTCACTCACAAGATGGCGGCGGCCTGCAGCTCCCCCTTGGTCCTCCCCCCACCCCAGGGGCGGCTCCACTTGTACGCAGGTTCGGAGTCCTGCCTCCGGCACCATGGGATATGTAGTCTCCCGCTCACGTTTGGCCACGCCCCTTCCCCTGCGGCCGTCCGACCTGCGGGAAGTGCGCATGTGCGGAGAGCGCATGACTTCATGGGATGCGTAGTTCCTCGTGCCCAGGCTTCACACGCTCTACGTGCAGACACTGCTTGTCCCGTGCGCAGGCGCCACACACGCTATGCCTCACGGGATATGTAGTTTACTTGCCGGACTCTTTGTCAGCCACGTGTTCAGTGTCGCCTTCACATAGCCGCAAAGACCCCTGGGGGATGTAGTTTATTTACCAGATCAAGCTAACTTCAGAACCCCTGAGACCCCAGAGCACAAGGAGGGGGCGGGAGCCAGAACTCTTGGGTTCTTCTAGTCCTAGCTCTAGGAGGGGAAAGAGTCTAATGGTTAGAACCAGGGTCTGAGAGTCAGGACCCCTAGGTTCTAGTAGGGTTACCATAATTCCACAATCAAAAAGGAGGACACTGGGGGGGGGGAGCCCTGTTCTAGCCCCGCCCCCATCCACTCCCTCCCACTTCCCACCCCCTGACTGCCCCCCTCAGAACTCCCAACCCCCCTGTGCTCCTTGTCTCCTCACTGCCCCCTCCTGGGACCCCTGCCACTGACTGCCCCCTAGGACCTCACTCCCTATCTAAGCCCCCCTGACTGCCTCCTCTTGAGAACCCCCCACCCTAACTGCCCCCTAA